TAAAAATGGGAGTTATATTTCCCCTTTTCCAGTGCACATAAACTTGTGCACCTACAGGTTCCTTAAATGGTCTCCAACCTGATCTTCTCGAGCAGGCAGTTCCTCATTTTCCCAGTCCCTGCCTTTGCCTTCTGCAACTTGGTAGGTGTGGTTGGAACACTTGCTGGTGAAGACTGAAGCAAAAACGTCATTGAGTACCTCAGCCTTCTCCATGTCCTGGATAACCAGGTTTCCCCTTTCCTTCTAGAGAGGGTCCACATTTTCCCTAGCATTCCTTTTATCACCAACTTACCTATAGAAGCTTTTCTTGTTGCCCTTGACATCCCTGGCAGGTTTAGTTGTATCAAAACTTTAGTTTTCCTAACCTGATCCTTGGCTGCTTGGACAATCTCTCTATATTCCTCCCAGGCTACCTGTCTCTGCTTCCATCCTCTGTAGCCTTCTCTTTGGTGTTTAAGTTTGTCCAGGAGCTCCTTGTTCATCCATGCAGGCCTCCTGGCATTTTTGCCAGACTTCCTCTCTGTAGGGATGCATTACTCCTGAGCTTGGAAGAGACAATCCTTGAACATCAAACAGCTCTCTTAGGCCCCTCTTCCTTCCAGGGCTTTATCCTATGACACTACCAAGCAGATCCCTGAAGAGGCCAAAGTCTGCTCTCCTGAAGGCTGGGGTAGTGAGCTTGCTGTGCACCCTCCTCACTGCCCTAAGGATCTTGAACTCCACCATTCCATGGTCGCTGCAGCCCAGGCTGCTCTTGAATTTCACATTCCCCACCAGCCCCTCCTTGTTGGTGAGAACAAGGTCCAGCATAGCACCTCTCCTCATTGACTCCTCTATCACTTGGAGAAGGAAGTTGTCATCAATGCATTCCAGTAAATTCCTGTATTGCTTATGCCCTTCTGTGGTGTCCCCCTCCAGCAGATATTGGGGTGGTTGAAGTCCTCCCTCCATGAGGACCAGAGCTTGTAAATGTGAGGCTGCTCTTATCTGTCTGTAAAGGGCCTCATCGGCTTGGTCTTCTTGGTTGGGCAGCCTGTAGCAGACCCCCACTATAATGGCACCTATCCATCCTCTCCCTTTAATCCTGACCCATAAACTCTCTGTCATCTCTTCATCCATTCCTAGGCAGAGCTCGATGCACTCCAACTGGTCAGTGATATTTTCATTTTGTCAAAAGTTCTGAAGTACTAGGCAGAGTGTCTAACATATATGGAAAAGGGGTTTGAAGAAAAAAAGGAATCGTGTCAGTCCACACCACCTGAAATGCAGGTACCATATATATAACCCGGAGATGGAAGTGTAATTAAGGTATTTTCACAAAAATCCAAATTAGAATCCAAATGGGAGAGGTCATATACTGCCTTATTGTGTTCTAATTTTGCTGTTGAAATTTTAGGAAAGGAAAACTGGATATACCATTCTCATGTCAAACAAGTTATGAATAACCAACCAACTAACAAATACTACATTGCAAAGAATCTATACACCAAAGTGATGAAGTGAGACATTCCATTACTCTTGGTGCTGCTAACCCAGAGGACCACAACTACATGGTAAGTATAAAATCAATGGATGACCCATTGTGGTATAAAGTTCACAAGACTAAAGGGGAGCTACTTGACATAGATTTTTATCTAATGGGTGACCAAACCCTTGGAAAACCCAATGAAAGCTTTTTTCTTTTTTTTTGCAAATCAGATACAGCTTAAAATCTAACTTTGATAGAGTTTAAGATCCTCAGCAAGATGAAAGTTCATCGTCTCAATGCTACTGTTGTTTAACAATTCTAGTTATTGTGTATGATTGGACACTGGATTTCAAGTAAATAGAATATATGCTAATGTGACATGCAAAAAAATTCACTTTCACCTAGATATGCTTTCAAATGGAATAGAGTTAATTTTCTTCTTAGTAGTTGTTACAGCGCCGTGTTTTGGTTTTAGTACAAGTGTTGATAACACAGTGATGTTTTAGTTATTGCTACATAATGCTTACTCTAAATCCAAAACTCTTCAGTTTCCCATGCTCTGTCAACTGAGCTAGTGCACAAGAAGTAAAAACCAGAAGATAAGGAGGCTACAGTCATTAGCAGAAGCTGTAACTTGACAAGATAAGAACAGTTAATGATCTGTCTGCATGGACACAGATCCAGTAAGAGATTAGAAGACCCCAGACCAAAAATCACCATTGGACCAAGAGGTGCATGCAAGGGGTGTGAAGAATGGTTGCATAGATTGTGAGGGCATAAAAACCCAGGGATTTCTTTGTTTGGGGTCCCTCTCCAGAAGCACCCAGGTCAAGTTGACCTGCTGCTGTACCACTCCTAAATTATTTATTTTCATAAAATCAGACATCTGAGACTCCTCTGTGGGAAACCTAGGGTCAAGCCTGAAGGGGGAGGAAGCATGCCTGAGAGCAACTATGTGTGTGAGCAAGGAGTCAAAAGGGGAACTCATCAGCTCATTGGAGCCACCCACTGCAAAGGGACTTTGGTCTAAGCAGTTAAATTCTCAGGTGGTGTGTGTGTGATTCCTTAAATGGTGTGAGAATACTCGGGCAGTGGCTTCTCCTTTGACACAGTTCTTCACATACAAGGCTCATACAACAACTCTTCAAATGCCTTTGTCTCTCAAGGGTTTGTTGGTACTATAACAAAAAAGTTGAAAATTGCCATCCCTTCATTCTAATAAGAGTCACGCAGGCTACAGCATGTGCTCTGCACATTAGTAGCAGTTAAGCTATAAAAATGATCTAATATCTGTGTCACGTGAAATGCATTCACATTTTCAGAAGTTAACTGAACACTAACAGAATGGTTATTTTAACTGCAATTTTACTACAGGTCTTCATTTCAATCCTTCCACTTCTTGAAGCATCTTACCAGTTCCATCATCTGCATCATTCTGACCAGTCTCCCAAATATCTGATTTTGTCCCAAAGCCATCAGTGGCAGAAGAGTCCATATAGTCTGCAGGGTTAAATGTCCTAGAGTTTTACAAGTTTAAAAATGGAAGAGAAGACATGGGTCATTCAATGAACACAAGTGTCATCATTTTTATCTGAAGTTGCATTTGATTAAACTTCTTGATTTCCACGTAATCTTTATAGTTTTGGTTTCAAAAGAAATTTTTCCTCTATGAGCAGACACAGATAAAAGAGGGATGAAAGGAAAAAAAAAATGAAGAGATTGAAAAAAAATTACTGTAGAGAAACTGAACCAAACCAACAATTCCTGAAAAAGCAGTGAACAGCATACCTACTCCTCCAGTCTTATAAAGGATTAGTTTATATGCACAATGATAAGCCTCTCTCAGCTGACAGTTTCTCAGCAGGTGGCTTACTGATGAGAAACCAGTATCATGTCATTTCAGAGCACCAGACCTGTGCAGGACAGGAGTCGGAAAATCAGTAAGACTATTTCAGAATGCACTCCTCACACCAATGCCAAAACACATAGATGCAGTTAAAAGGTGAAACAGAATTATTGAAGAAAAACCTCTTTTCAGTTTATCATCTACAAGTATGAAGAAGAATTATTAGAAAAGTAGAATGAGTCTTCTGTTCATCATGACATCACTGATGTTACGTGAAATGTCATTAAAGTCAAACACCAAGTAAAAGTAGTCAAGGCTACACTTCATGAAGCAAGTTATTCCAACAAAACTTGGAACAAACTTTGAGGCTGCTGAGTAACTTCTTTTGATTTTGTTTTAGGGTCGATGTATGTCCAAACAGTTAAAGCATGAAACCTCAAAAACAGGAGAAAGTTTAGAATCACTAGTCTTCCTGGTTTTATATAGAACTTAAAAGTTCTACATTGCACTGAAACAAATCTTTTTTTTAGTGACTTAAAACTATATGCACCACACAGAGCTTTCAGCCTCCAAGGCACTACTCATAGCTGCTACTGATAGGTAAAAATGGGTTCTCCAAGTTTGAGATATTAACATGAATTTACATTAGGTTTGTATAGGTGTGTCTAGTTAGAAATACTGTATTAAGACAAAAAAAATCCATTAATAATCTAAGAAATTTTTTAAAATTTTGCATCTATATAGGTTAATCATACAGCAATATTAAGACATATAGTGGTAATGTTGTCAATTAATATTGCCGGTGAGTTTGATCCTTGCCGAAATCTGTGCTCTGCATGTTTCTTACCCCATGCCTTGGGTTGAAAACCTCCCCGCTCCTCTCCCTCTGCCACGTCCAAACCCTAGGAGAGAAAACACCATATAACAGCAACAGCAGAGGAGACACCAATTGCTAATCTGTCACATTAGAAAATATGGTTGATGAAAAAAAAGTACTGTAGTTAAAGTTAAATACCATTTACTTCCCAAATTTCCCTAACACATGCAAGTAAGCTGTAGAGGTCCAAACCAAGCTGTCAGCAGAAACAAGTTTGCAGGGTTTGAGTGGCAAACCTTAGAAAACAGAGGCTGACAAACATCCCGTGATCTACGAAGTTGGACCCCTGTTACGAGATCTGTCAAAGTACAACCTTATAGATTAAGCTGGCTCCAGTAGAATCAAGAAAGAACTTCTTGCGATTATGTTATTAAACTATGTCTAAAACCCCTTAATTCCTTTGATCCTGCTTGAAGAAAAATTAACCTATTTAGAAACTAGTAAAAACTTGTGTAACTTCTTAATTATCATAACCCGTCCTTCCATTAACATGTCCAGCCCCCGAGGCCCTTAAAAATGTGTTTTCTGTCCAATAAAGCATTCTAGTTTTACCCCATACTGGGATCGTGTTAGTTTTGTTTTTAGACAGCCACAGTAAGCCACAGTTCATCTAAGACTGTGATTCAGCAGGACATGCAATTCTTGGCTATCTTTTCTGTATCTAGTGAAGTAACTCCAAATGCCAAGAAAAGGACTCACCTAAAGAATCATCCCACTAGACTGCTATTGCTAAATCATTAGACACTATTCAAAATTTTGTCCAATTTTTTACTCTTGTCTAAGATGCTTTAGAATCCCAGTCTTCCTGCATACCTTGATCTCTCAAGAAATTCTCTTTCACTTCTTATCTGAGGAGAAAGTTTAAATATTCTATTTGCTTCCTTCTCTGACTCAGTCCACCCCTACCCTCCTGTGCTTTCACCAACCTGTGACCACACATTCCTTCTGATTTGCCCTTAAGCATAACTGTAATGGCCAGTCACTTCGCGAACGAAGAACCGGGGAAGGTCTTTCCACCTTCCAGCCTGCGCATTGGATTTTTTAGGTGAGACACAGTGTGCGCGGAACTGAGCCCACCCTTTAATCCTGAGGTTCATCTGCCGGGGCCAAGCACGCTTGGACGATGGCAGCGAGGTCCTCAGGACGTAGATGGATTGCCTTACAGGGCTAA